CAGGGTCACTGAGGTGTGCTCGACCCGCTCTGTCAGTGTAGGCATAGCAGTGACGGAATCGAACTGTCCCCAGCGGAAGTGACCTTCCTATCGACATAATGTCAATTTGTTTACAACATCGATGTTGTTTTGTGGTTTTGAAGAAGGGAATGTGATAGGAGATAAGGTTTAATACATATTTTGTAAAAAAATACTACACGAGCGTTTCCCGACAGATGGCGCCGCACTTCAGACCATCTGATTGTGATCACACTAATTACAAAGCATTTATAAATCTGTCATGTTGATAAATGTTGTCACTCTAATTGATGTACAGTGACAATAATTAAGGACGAACATTATTAATAAGACGCTGCACCTGACAAACTTTGAAAATACGATTACATAAGAGCATGCGTATAGCTAAAATCATGGACTTGTATGCATTGGTTTATCGTAAATTTTACGTTGACTCGTTAAACAGCATTTCGAACATCATTATATTTCTAACAGCATACAACGGTCCTACGCCTTGAAACTTGTAGTAACTATTTATTCCGCTTTGTTCTGTTTCAAACAGTCCTCAGCGGAATTTAGTAGTCTCGAATTTTCTTGATTAATTAAAAATTCTAGAGATGGAGGCAGTCTAAGCGTCGTGTAACTTAGCGAAATAGCTCTATACAACGGTAAATAACCACCACGAGGTAGTAGGTTATGATTTGTAAATATTAGCGAAGTTAACCCTCAGGTATAACATACATGACCCTCGGGTATAACATATATACATGTACATGACCCTTGGGTAAAGCTGATCATCACAACATTGGATACATAGAGAATAATACACGCCTTTTTTCCATATCACACCCAGTATCAACACGAGACTGCAATATCAGCCCAAGGGCCGAAGGCCCGAGGGCTGATATTGGTCGAGGGTTGATACTGGGTGTGATATGGAAAAGGGCGTGTTTTATTCTGTTTATTACATACTTACTAATAAAAACTACTATTTTATGATTTATTTTTATTTTTGAAATATTGAAAAACGAACTTTTTTTCCAAAAGGGGTGTGATATGGGTTTTGCGGGCTGATACGGGTTTTGGGGTGTGATACGGCGGGGGCTGATACGGGTTTTGGGTGTGATACGGCGAGGGCTGATATGGGTTAGAGTAATTGTGTCGTATCGCATATACAAAAAAAAAACCGTATTTATTAGTAAGTATGTAATAAAAATCATTATCAATTATCACTTAGTTAGATATCTTGTTTCTCATTTAATTTTACACTATATGAATTATCAAAAAATAAACTAGTAGCTTGAAATATTAAAATGTATAGCATTTATGAAGGAATTGTATTTATCTAATATATATTGAGAGAAATGTATCATTTTATTGATAGAACGTCACCATGTATGCAGGCAGGCATATCTCGCGAAACTACATTTATAAGCATTGCGACATATGAAAAAGCAGAAAGGATTTCTGAGTTTAAATACACTAGAAAGACAAATATGATCATGAACACACAAAGTTGTGTATTTTGGAACTGCTCTATTTTTCATCAGTGTTTTATCGCTGACGGTTTTTAGATTAATTGTATATCTATTTTACGAAGATGATAAAGAAAAGTCATCATTCCTTTAATTATTGAAATGTTTTGGCGAACAGGTTTAAAAATAGTACATTCGTTTAATAGATAAATTGCAAGGTAAAAGACATGAGTGTATCATGAACACGTGTTCCTAGATAACATGGATCCATTTTCCAAAGAAACTATCTGGAAATCTGTCTAATGGAGTGGGAAAAAAAGAGATTGATTCTAATCTATAAGAAGGGTCCATTAGAAAGTACAACTATGTCAAGTTCAATGGCAACTGGGAACAAACACGTGCACTGGAATGAGAATTCGGATCGAGTCTGTTAAGAACAACAATAAGTCGGTAATCTGTTCAGTAATTGAGATACTTAATTGTCTGGTATGTATAAAGCGTGTAAATAAACAAATGTTAAAACAATTCCAGTAAAAGAAACGTGTTTATATTCAAAGGGAGATATTTTGCTTTAAAATTGAGCTTTAAAACTTTACATATATACTAGTAATGCTGCAATATCGTTTCTGTCTGCGTTTTGATATTTAATTCAATATCGGATATATTGTTTTAACCAATTACCATCCCTAAAACCCAGTTAATTATTTCAATATTCGTTGTATAGTTACTTGAGTTGTGAAAATAGCTGATGATTTGAAATTAAACGGCAATACATTTAGGAGTAAACATGCATAGTAGTCTGAAATAATAATCGAATATTAAAAGTCAAATTTATAAACGTTTGTGAACAAAGAAGTTGCAATTTAGCACTAAGAGATCGTATACTACGAGGATGTATTACTTGTGTGTATATATATGTCCTGTTTACGAATTTATACATATAAACAAATCAATACTGTGACTAATACTCGATACGTAAATATAGAAAATGGGTGATGTAATATGTACATACAAATAACATGCGTGATGTAATGTATACAAACAAACTGTATATTGAATCTATAATATACACAAAATCGATATCACAAATGGTACGCTATATCTATATTTTACAAACAAAAAAACAAACAAACAGCGTCATATAGTGTACAATGGTACCCTTGTATACACAAACAACATCACAAAGTGTACATTGTATTTATAATGTTTACACAAACAACGTCACAAAGTGTACATTGTACCAATAATGTACACACAAACAACGTCACAAAGTGTACATTGGTACCCCTTGTATACACAAACAACGTCACAAAGTGTACATTGGTACCCCTTGTATACACAAACAACGTCACAAAGTGTACATTGGTACCCCTTGTATACACAAACAACGTCACAAAGTGTACATTGGTACCCCTTGTATACACAAACAACGTCACAAAGTGTACATTGGTACCCCTTGTATACACAAACAACGTCACAAAGTGTACATTGGTACCCCTTGTATACACAAACAACGTCACAAAGTGTACATTGGTACCCCTTGTATACACAAACAACGTCACAAAGTGTACATTGGTACCCCTTGTATACACAAACAACGTCACAAAGTGTACATTGGTACCCCTTGTATACACAAACAACGTCACAAAGTGTACATTGGTACCCCTTGTATACACAAACAACGTCACAAAGTGTACATTGGTACCCCTTGTATACACAAACAACGTCACAAAGTGTACATTGGTACCCCTTGTATACACAAACAACGTCACAAAGTGTACATTGGTACCCCTTGTATACACAAACAACGTCACAAAGTGTACATTGGTACCCCTTGTATACACAAACAACGTCACAAAGTGTACATTGGTACCCCTTGTATACACAAACAACGTCACAAAGTGTACATTGGTACCCCTTGTATACACAAACAACGTCACAAAGTGTACATTGGTACCCCTTGTATACACAAACAACGTCACAAAGTGTACATTGTATCTATGATGCTCACACAAACAACGTCACAAAGTGTACATTGTACCAATGTTGTACACACAAACAACGTCACAAAGTGTACATTGGTACCCCTTGTATACACAAAACAATGTCTTAAAGTGTACATTGTACCTGAAAATGTACACAAAAACAGCGCCACAAAGCGTACATTGTACAAATAATGTATTCATACAAATTGTAAATTTTCCTATGTATTATGCTTATGCTAGGTCAATAGCAACGCTATACTGAATATGTTAATTTAGTTCGTTATTGTAATTATCACGCACACACTTACATAGTAATAACACGGTATATTGTTTACTTACAAGTGATGTTTTGGTGATGAAAACTTTGCTTTATTTGTCCACTGTGATGTTTTTTTGACATGTAAAGCAATATTTCATAAGATCAAGCGGAAGTTTTGGAACATGAATTATCAATATATTTACTTCCTTGAACTAAAATTGTAAATGACTGTTTATGATATAACTTGTAAATAAAATGAATTTTATACGAGATGGCTTTATACGTTTTAACAACTTGTGCCAAATCCTTTGTACCTATTTGGACAATAAATATGGTAAAAGTCGAAGTGATATTTTACAGGTGTTATTTGTACCAGACACCTGTACGCGTACGTTGATTGTGGAATGTATTACCGTAATCGATTGCAATTTGTAGTAAGCACTATAACACTACACCCAATGTAACTAATTAACATATTTAATGTTTTTATATTGTATACATATATTTATTAAGCGTAACATCATATCTTATACATTTTGATACGTCCACAGGTGTTTTCTGTTTTAGATGAATTTCCCTCGATTTGATGGATGAACATGTTTTAGATTCAGTGATCAGTTTTTACTCAGTTTTTACTGATCTTGATAAATGATTAAGAAAAGTTAGATTGAATATTATGAAATAAAGGTCATATACAAGGTTTTTTTAAACTGACATAAGAATCGAAGATTGGGACTGTCAGGATGGTTTATCCTTCTAATTTGAAAATTATATGATTCTCTTAGATCGATATTTACTATGCATCAACAATAAATTTAAGGTATCTATTACTTTCTTAAATACTGTAAGGTTAAGAAACTCACAAGTTAAAGTTGAAATCTAACTAGAACAAATTTTTAGATTTCTGATTTGCCTTTTACAGTATAGCAATGCGAATGGATGTCCGTTCGTAATGTATACACTATTTACATGTATATGTCTGAAGAGTTCCTACGGATGAAAGACAAATGTCCACTCGTTTTGTACATTACTATAACACATGTATCATAATAATGACTTTCACACATCATACAAGCAACATATATTTCATCATTATATTGCCGCCATCTTGGAAACTCACCTGCAGGCAAATTGTTTACTAATCCTGAGCAGGAAAAATAAAGTTTTGAGGACAGCATAAACATATTTTTAATAATATTTAGCTAATTTTATTTCCATTTGGGAATTCGTCAATCAAGTTCAGATATGGGTTGATAATATACATTGTTTTACCTATATACTTACATTGAGGTTAATGTTGTCCAATATTTCTTTATCTTTTTCCCAAAAGAAATTACTCCAAGATGAGACACAGAGTTGGCCTAAATGGTATTTAAAATCACATCCTCTGTTGTAATGATAATAATCCGTGTTGTTATCCGAAAAAAAGTTATTGATGAACACAAGCGAGATGAGATATTGGGATTTGTTGAAACAGTGCCCTACTGACTAAGAAGCCGTTCATAGATTGAAGAAGCTCCTAGCTGACCCGGAATCCTGCCCGAGGGAGGGCATCAACGTCACAGCTGTCATTAGAAGCTACGTCGTATGTCAGACACGGAAGATCCCGCCCCTCTCACTATCTTATCTTACCTGTATCTATACCTGTACAGATGAGCGAAGATTAGTCATCTTAAACTGCTTTTTATTCGTAGATCTGCATGGCCATTTTTGAAACAAATGCTTATCACATGCATACATGCAAAGAGACGGAACAAAATGGTAATTTTCTTGAAAACAAAACGGTCAGAAACACGTTTTACCGTTGTGTATTGTTAGCGTTATTAAACAATTCTAAAGGATTGTTTAAGCAGGAGTTTTTATTTCAAAATAACAAATTAAGCAAACAAAGAATAAATAAAACCGTTTTCTGATAAAAACAAGCAAAGTTTAAAATCTATCACAATTAAACATCAAAAAGAACGCATTTGATTGTATGTACATGTTGATAAGTATGTTACATTGTAGATGATAACGATTTTTCTTTATCAAGTGAATACACCATTTCCTTCGCGTGAAATGAATTACAAAACAGTATGAATAGTCAAACGGAATATACTTATAACGACAATGAGTAGTGTCTGTTCTGCTTTTCCAAAAATTATAATTTCGAAAAACAACAACAACAGCAACAACAACAACAGTAAGATACACGTATATGTACATAAATGGAATATGCTCGCGTGCACTAGTAAGATATGTCTATGCATATAGTCTATGGGCAACGGTACATTACCGATCACCGTTATAAGTCTATATAAATGGCCAGCGGCCTCTACGAAACTATCCATCACAGTAGGAACGCGTATATTACCTACATCGTCCCTACGGTCATTTCTATATAGTTCTTTTAACACAACATGTACAGGTGAGACGGTCACGTGGGGGACGTTCACGTGTATTGTAAAACATAAAAGGGCCATAAATGGACATGTAAATAGGTATGGCAATATATATGTATTGTAAGTAGGTATTGAGATATACATATATTTCTTACATTGTGTGTGAGCATCATAATGTACACGGCGCCGAATAAAAGAGAAGAATTCTGACGATGTCGTTAGACTGTCCCTTTGTCATGTAATTCTAAATATAGATATTTATATATTTTTCTAAGTTGTGATTGAATGAAAAATTGAAAATGTAAGGATGTATGCTATCTTACATGCGACATGTATTCTGTTTACAAGGAATTCCTAGAATTTTACACGAATGACCATGTAGAATTTGTATGATAACTTGGTACATTGTATTTGAGTAGGTAATAATAACACTATTGCAATGTACATGTATACTCTATTAAATCGACACAGATAACATTTAGGCAATTTGAATTTATCCATATACATGTACAACGTATATGTATAAAAAAAAATGGCTAATCATAAAAAGTGTTATTCTTATACATTTTACAGTTATTATGTGTTAGATAAAAATATATCGATGAGGTAAAATCTTTGTATTCTATCAGGAATGTGTCCACTACACATCCTTGATTCTATTCGTCATGTACTTGAGCACATGTTTAATAAAAAATAAATGTGTCAGGACCCGATAGAGAGTGATCTTATGCTTTAAAAGTTATGTTAGTGTACCTTAGAACAAATTTCCTTGGAATCGAACCCTGGACTCGAGATAGTTGTCTAGTGCTCTACTGATGGAGCTAACAGAGCCGAGTCATGTACATGTGACTTGATTCACTTTTGTGAAATCAGAGTTATTGCAAACATAGAGGGCTTATGAATAGAGACAGATTTTCATATTATAACACCTATAGCATGCTTTAAGGAGCAAACCGTTTGTATCAATGTATAAATTAAATGTATCATTATATTTAATACGTGTCCTTGTGCTCAGCTGAAAAAAAACAGTCCATCATGCAGCTAGGTTTCTTCGATGTTTTGGTAAATAAGTGGGAAGTATAAATATATAGGAATAGACGTGGCATATTTACTGCCCTCGATCATGACAGAGTCAGAACTATCGACTTGAAGTGATTGACGTGCAGATCAATGGATGATTATCACGGGATTGACATTGTGTCGACAGGCGCATGCGTACCGCGTACCAAGGATACCTCTCTATACTTATCAAAACAGAGTAGTATTGCGCAGCAAATGTGCATTACTGGGACCGTGAACGAATTATCCAAACTATTTATGGTAATTAATGAATGCTAATCAAAACCACACAATTTCCTCATTCTTTATTTAAGTATCAACCTCCAATTTTGTGACGGCATCACAGAAAAACTATTATTGTATTAATAAAGAATAAATAGTCGGCGAACCGTCGTAGATATAATCAAATGCAAAAACAATAATGGTAAATTTGTACATATATTTAGCAGTCGACAGGTACTAACCGCAGTGTGCTGTGCTGTGCTGTGCTGTGCTGTGCTTCTCCAGTTAACCCACATGATAGTTCATTAGAAATCATTTGGGACGATCAATGTTTAAATGGTGAGTGCAATTATATTGATTTTATTTTCCTCATTTTCTTTTTTCTTCTAGTATTTTCTTGTAATAGGAGCTTCGGTGACCAAGTGGTTAGGGCGTCTGACATTCTGCTACCACTAGCCCTCCACCACTGGGTCGCGGGTTCGAGACCTACATGGGGCAGTCGCCAGGTACTGTCCATAGGTCGGCGGTTTTTCTCCGGCAGCTTCGGCTTTCCTCAACCACAAAAACCTGGCACGTCCTTAAATAACCATAGCTGTTAATAGCACGTAAAACATAAACAAACCAAACCAAATCTTGTATTTTCTTGTGAAAGAGAACTCAAATGTATACAATATAAAATAAAATGTAGTTATTTTACAACAATTATGAAACAACTTATCAACTTACATAACTCACTCTTGTCGGTCCGAATATTAGCGTGCAGAGTGTCTTAATGTGGGAGGAAAATGGAGACCCAGAGAAAAACCAGTTTGGTCGGGTAGGTTACCCCATACATTTTCACGTCCTATCGGGAAATCGAACCCCGGCCACCTTGACGAAAGGCGAGTGCGTTATCAACTCTGCCACCTGACCATTCCAGTTGAAATGTACAACCACTGTCAGAACTGTGATTTTAAGGTCCAAAAGGTCTTTTGATTCACAACATTTCTGTAGAGAACCATTTTCAAAGGCAGTGTATCACTTTATTTCTCGGTGTTTTTTCAACGGAAGAATAAGAAAGAGCATGCATATAAATTCATTATCAAATGATGTTTTATAAAAAATGAAAAATAAAACTTCCCAAAGTTATTGAATACATTGAATATTTATCAAAACTTTAGACTTTCTGTTTTCATACATTTTGTTTTTAAGCAAGTGACTCTAAACACGAAAACAAGTGACTCTAAACACGAAATGTCCTCACAGTTACATTGTCATATATAAAAAAAAAAAAAAAAGTTTTAATCACCAATTGTTACGAGTAGAACACTGACATTATATATCATATAGGTATCGCAGTCAGTGCTGGTATTTAGATTTCATGAGTGGAATAACTTACCAGTTAAATAAGAATCCCTGTCCCACTGGAATGAGATTTTTCCTACAAACAGTGACCTCCCCTTAACTTCCGTTTGGATACACTTTTGTTAACCAGGTTGCGCAATCGGTTAGAGCGATAGTATATATATATCAATCTGAGGTCCGGTGTTCGAATCCCAGTCTAGCTCCGCTGATTTTCAGCACACTCAAAGCAATGTTGTTGATAATTTATTTATTTCATCTTTATTATTTCTCATGAAAGTCCCGCAAAGTATGGCTTTCTTTTCGGAAAAGATTTATTAAAGCTATAGTCAGGCAAATAAATAAAAATCCAACACTTAGTTACACTTGTTGGTAGTGGCACGGGATCCTCTATAATGATGTTCATACCGAGTTCACAGTGTTCGTGATGTACAAGGTGCCTTAATTTTGCATCAGTATTTAGATATCATGTCTTTTCTAAATGTCTTGTCTAAACTATGCTCTTAGCATATTTACCACCGGATATCTTTTATATAGTTCCCTTTCTGAAAATCAGTCGGCAATCACTGGGCCTGTTCGAATTCGTTTATGCGGAACAACCGGTTTGACTGTTTTTAAAAGCAACATTTTTGGGTATATGCAGGCCATGTAAGGCTTTGACAAAGACTCGCCTGAAAGCAGCATCAGATTACTAGGTCCGACCTTATTTCATAAACGAACAACTCTGGTCCAACCGGTTAGCGGCCCTAGTCTGAACTGCCAACCGGAAGTTTTAGATATATCTTTTGTATACTGTTGATAAATTCATCACATTATTAATATTTATAATTCCTATTAATGGTATGAATAAGAGATAACCCTGATATGACTAATAACCATCAATTCAATTTTCAATTTTGGAATGCCAATATATTGAACGGAATTGTTTAATTTTCACGTCCTAGTCTATGTAATGAAGCCTTGGAGGGTGTGGCTTCATAAGAGGATTACACACGGAGTTGTTAAATTTTGCGGAATCTTCTTTTCACGGATTTCATGTAAAGTGACCATGCCACAAAGCCGTACAGTAATGATTGATTAATTTGCTATAATTTTTGCATGTTGTATTTCGCGGAAAAACAGTTTGATATGACGCCATGTGAAGCATTAGACAATCTGCATGCTGGAGAACTATACTATGTATTTGACACGAAAATAAAATATTTGAACTATTTTGTTTGTGAAGGTCTGTGTTGCCAGTTTTTTATTTATGTCCTCGTTTTGCCTTTTTTAACGTTTCATAATACTTTTTTATGTGTTATATATGTAGTCGATTTTTTTGTGGTCGTAAAATAAAGACCTATTTACATATTTTACTGGTATTTGAATAGGAATGCGGACATGTTTATGAAAACCACTAAATATAGAACGCTTAAACATTGTCATATATAACGAAAGTGATTTAAGAATAGGAATGTTTTTATTCTTTTACAGAAACATAAATATCCCATAAGGCATGACACTA